ATATGTATGTCAACCTTCTCTGTCCTCCAAATGTGTCAGACTATGACTCCCATCAGCCACCTAACCTGGCCAGTGTGGACAATGGGGTTTTAGTCCAACACATCTGGAGGGCCCCTGGTTAGGGAAGACAGATGTACATGATTGGATGATCTGTCAGACTCAGCATAAAATGAAGGGGGGAAGGAGTCTTGTGGCACCTCACGGCTTCCATGTCCCCTCTGGGAAAAGAAATCTGTAAAAAGAAACCATCTACAATGAGAAATCAAAATAATATCACTTACCTCTTGTGGTCTTTGTGAGGTTGAAGGAAACAACAGAATGGTAGTATTATGTCCCAGAGTGTAAGCTATGCCCCCCAAAATGAGGATATTGCCACCCATATGAATTCTGCCCCCCCATGAAGGAAAATTCAGCCCCCAAATTTCTAGCATTATAGAGAGCGAAACACTGAACAAAACTCTTCTGTTTGCTGTGTTTACATTTGTTTGGTCACTGTGCCTGCCCCTTTTCTTTGGATGCTTAAACCACATTTCTAAATGCTCAGCTAAAGTTTTAAGTTATTGCAATGCTAGAAATTTGGGGACTGAAGAAAAAACCCTCCCACCCCCAGTAGCTACTCCCAATATGCTGCACAATCCCCACCCTGGTATAAGCATACATGTTTCTAGACACTTTAAAAAGTTACCTTTAAAAGGATATTTGAGGCATTTTCAACAGGAATTTATCATGTTTTATGCCAATTTTCCCTTATTTCTTATTTTATTTTTTCTCTTATTTTTCTTCTTTCTAAAACACGCCCATGATGGTTTTTAAAATATACGTCTGACTGTTGTTGTATGTATTCAAGTCACTTTGCACTTATGGTGACTCTAATGTGAACCTATCACAGGGTTTTCTGGGGCTGAGTGTGACGCACCCAAGGGCACCCAGTGGGTTTTCATAGCTGAGCGGAGAATCGAACAGTGATTTAAGTGTTGTAGTCGAACACTTAAATCACTGTACCACACTGTCTCTATATTTCTGATATACATATATTTATGCAAACCACTTTATTATATAGATAATCTTTGTTGTGTGGGTTCATAGTATTGTTGAAGGAATTTATAATTGTCAGGATTGCTTATTTGGGTCTTTGTTTGTTACCTACAGTGTTTGATTAGACAACACAGCAACCTAGCAGAGCAGTGCAGTGTCTAAGCCAAAAAGTCACTAGAAGAGCCTTTCTAGAATCAAAACCAAAAGTTCAGCCAAGCCCAGCATCTGGTTTTCAGCACTGGGCAAACAGATATTTCCAAAATCAGTTCTGCATTTCCCACACAATGAATCAGCTTATTTCTACTGAATCAGACCTGCTCCACTCCTCTCTTTGCCAAACACCACCACTATGGGTTGGTGTATCCACACTGCAGAAATAAAGTAATTTGAAACCACTTTAACTACCACGACTCTATCCTACAGAATCCTAGGCTTTGTAGTTTGGTGTGGCACCAAAGTGCTCTGACAAACCAGGCTGAATACCTCACCAAATTACAAATCCCAGGATTCTGTAGGATAGTCATGATGTTTAAAGTGGTGTCAAACTACTTTAATTTTGCAATGCTGGTACACCACCCTATGCTGAGCTCTGATGATTCTCCTCCTCCTTTATAGCCTGCCCCTTTCCCAATAAATTCCCTCAAGGCAACTTGTTTTTGTTGTTAGCTGCCCTCGAGTTGATCCAGATTCATGGTGACCCTGTGGATGAGACATCTCCAAGACCCCTGTCCTCCACTACTCTGTTCTGGTCCTGCAAACACATGCCCATGGCCTCTCTGGCTGAGTCCATCCATCTAGCATGTGGCCTTCCTCTCTTTCTACTGCCCTCTACCTTTCCTAGCATTATTGTCTTTTCTAGTGAGTCATGCTTTCTCTTGATGTGTCCAAAATACAACAGCCTTAATTTAATTATCTTGGCTTCCAGGGAGATTTCAGGTTTGATCTGTTCAAGGACCCATTAGTTTTTCTTTTTAGCTGTCCACAGGATCCTCAGCACTCTTCTCCAGCACCACATTATCTCAAAGGAGTCAATTTCCTTTTTATCCTCTTTCTTCAACTCTCACATCTGTACATAGTGATGGGGAATATAATGGCTTGTATGATTCGGACTTTAGTGCTCAGTTATATATCTTTGCTCTTTAGGATTTTTTCTTGTTCTTTCATAGCCATCTCCCTCATTCCTAGTCTTCTTCTGATTTCTTGGAAGCAGTCTCCATTCTGATCAATGTTTGATCCAAGGGAAGGGATCCAAGGTAAGGGAACCTACAAATTATTAAAACCAATACAGATGAAAATCATATAAAAACATAAGTTATATATATATTATATATACAATCTATACAGTTAAAAACATCTAAAATTCACAGAAGGTTAATATAAATATTAGCAAAACAGCACAGCATACTGCTGAAAAACCATCCTGGTCTGATAGAACAGGAAGGTTTTTTACTTGCCCGCAGAAGAAGCGCAAGGAGAGAGGAAATTTCAAGAAGGCCCTCTCTCTTATTCCCAACAAACAAGCCTTAGGAGACAGCATAACAGAGAGAAGAGTCTCTCCTGAAGATCTCAGAGCTCAAACAGGACCATACAGGGAGTTTCATTGTTGTGTGCCTTCAAGTTGTTTCTGACTTATGGTGACCCTAAGGTAAACCTATCATGGAGTGTTCTTGGCAGGTTTCTTCAGGGAAGTTTGCTATTGCCATCCTCTGAAGATGAGAGTGTGACTTGCCCAATGTCACCCAGTGGGTTTTCATAGCCAAGCTGGGATTCAAACTCTGGTCTCCAGAGTCACAGTCTAATGTTCAAACCACTACACCATGCTGTTACAGCCCTTCAAATAACCTGGACCCAAGCCACTTAGCTGCTAAGACTGAGCCATTGACCAATCGTCCATGAAGCTATCTTTTCTCATATAACCATATCACTCTGGACACACCCCATCTTGTCTGACTTTGGAAGCTAAACAGGATCAGCCTTGGTTAATATTTGGATGGAAGACCCCATAACTGCCAGTCAGAATTGACAATATTCAGAGCTGTTAAATCAGAAGGTGCTGGGAGCATCCAGGATAGTAGGCTGCCATGAGACAGAAGACCACAAACAGCTTGTGCAGACAAGACACTGGGGGTGCAGAGGTGGATTTCCATGGGCAGGAAAACATTATGACTATGTGTGGACACAGTGAAACACCAAAATCATTAGGACCAGCCTGACTGCAATCCTGCTCAGCAGGGTTAAGCAACTATGCAGCCACTCTAGAGTGTTTAAGTATGCCCAAAATGACACAATGTCACTTCCGGCTGCCATTCTGGCCTATTTTCAAAATTCTTTCTATGTTTTGGAGAGATTTGGGGGGGACTTTGGAGGATCTGGGGAAGAAAACTGCTGTGGTCTGGACACATTTGGGGTGATATTAGGGCAAAATAAATAACCAGAAAATTGGCTCCCACTTAATTTTTTGAGTCTGGGAACTGGGGAGACCAGGGTGTCCACTTAGAGGTCCAAAGTGCCCCATGAGGCCCATGACCCAAGTTTTGCCTAGGACCTAGCTAAGAGTCAGTGCCACAAAATTCAGTGGTGCCTATTTCTGGCTGCATAGGTTCAACTAGCAAGACAAAAGATCTTAAAATGCTGTCTTTTTTTGTTTTTGTAGACAAAGGGAAGGAAAGAGTTCTCTATACAAACCTGCCACAAACAATAATACAACCTGAAAACCTCATTATCACCTCATTTGCTGCTGGTCTATTCATTCCTGACTGTCCTGGAGCTTCAGCAGAGGTCACAGTCTAGTCACCACTCCTTCTCTGGAAGAAGAAAAATAAAAATAAAATGTTCTATTGGTGCTCTCATTTGTGTTCCCTCTCCAGCATCAGGACCTGGGAAATTTACTTCTTGGGCTTACTCTGAAAGGTACTCTGAGAATTGGCTGGGGGATTCTGGGATCTGTAATGAGAGCCAGAGTGGTGTAGTAGTTTGAGTATTGGACTGTGGCTTTTGAGATCAGGGTTTGATTCCCCACTGGAACATATAAACCCAGTGGGCGACCTTGGGCAAGTCACACTCTCTCAGCCTCAGAGGATGGCAGTGGCAACCCCCCCCAAAAAGCATGCCAAAAAAAAATATCCCATGATAGATTCACCTTAGGGTCACCATAAGTCAAAAATGACTTGGTGGCACACAACAACAACAAAAGCCTTACAAATGACTCTCCTGGGCTTGTACCACTGCTGGCTCTACCGGACAAGACAGATGGCCCAAAGAACCGAATAAAAAAAGACAGCATGTTATGCCTCCATGTATCCCATAGCAAGGCTGAGCAGCTTGTGGCCTTCCAAAGTTTGGGAACTGCAGTTCCCATCATCCCACGCTAGCATCTATGATGGCTAAAAGGCTACTAGGATTTGCAGTCCAACATCTGGAGGAGCACCCTCAGCCCACCCAATTTGGTAAGACTGAAAATGGAGGGGAGAGGGAAAAGGAAAATGATTTCCCTTCACCCTCCCATTAGGTGAAGCAACAGCTTGTTGATGGAGGGGAGAGGGCAGCAGATCCCCACTGTTTCCAAGAGTTCCTTAATCTACTCGGCTCAGCCCAGCCTAACTTTAGGATGGTGGCCACTGGTGTGTGGTAGATGCATCATCATCAGTATCTCAGTAACATTTCACTTCTAGCCCAGCTGGGTTTTATTCATGTGGAATAGGTAAAATTGGGGGGGGGGGGGGGGGGGGGGGGGGAGGAGGATGTCATGCCCCTTGTCTCAGGCAGTATAGTATCTTGGGCTGGCATTCAATATGAAGGGTGGGTTTTGTGAAATCTACCAGCCACATCCTTGATTCCTTTCAGATTTATTTATTTATTTAGAAGCATACCTCAGTTAACAAAGCCTCTAACAAGGGCACTCCTTTTTACAAAATATTTTTATGCTTACCCAGTCTCCCTTTCCTCCTTGTCCTCTGTCTATCTGAAAGTTTTTCAGTAGCTTCGGCTTTGGGAGAATGGTGAAGAGGGAAAACACAGATTTTCCACCTTGGGTTGCAACATCGCACCTGCAATAAACAAAGCAAAACCCCAACCAACTACAGTCTTATCTGCCTGTCTACAACAAGCAAAGTAAACAGCAGTTGCCTGCCTCCAGGATCCCTTATTGAGCATGTATGAACAGCTAAACAGAGAGAAAAGGGGAGAGCAGATAAACTTAATTCACAATCTATCCTTAGATAGATCTAGAAGTTTGGCCACCAAAATGAAAATCATAAAAAAGTAGAGGCTAGTAAAAGAAAATAATAATCCCTAGATGTATTTTGGAAGAATTTTTCAGGTGGTTTTTGCGAAGTTCAAATATTTTTGTTTACCTAGGCAAGGCTCACTTGACCTGTTTGTTTCATTTCACATGGGCCTATTATTAATTATGATTTTTTTTGTTGCTTAAACCCGTTGAACTGTTTTTCCTTTTTGTGGTGTCGAAAACTATCCCTACACTTTCCATGTTATTTCTGTTTCCAGTATAAAAATTCCTTTGAAAGAAGTAGAGCCCAGGAACACACCTGCTTCCCTAACTGAGGTGTGCTTGCATTTATTTATTTAACTCTCATCCTTCTTTTCTCCCAAAACTGAAAGTCAGGTCAGTATGCAAGTAAAAATTCAAGTCAAAGTTTAGAAAAACACACAGTCAAAACAAGACCTGGAATTTAAGGAGCATACTAATTAAAAAGTACAGTGCACACACCCACAAACCTCTTTGCAGCACTCCTTCCTCAGCAATCAGTCAGTTGCCAAAAACTTTGTCCAAATTGAAAAGGTTGTTGCTTGCTCAGGTTAATCAAATTCTGCTCTCTTCTATGGACTGCGGCTAAAGGGAGAGAAGGGCTCATCACAAAAAAGTGAAGCTATCTCTACCCTTCACCACACTTCAATAATTCCAGCATTGAATGTGAGAACATATGAATAGGTTGTTGTTGTTAGTTGCCTTTGAGTCTAACCTCTGCCTCCCTGCTCAGATCCTGCAGGCCCAGGCCCATGGTCTCCCTGATTGAGTCCATCCATCTGGCATGTGGCCTTCCTCCCTTTCTACGTCCCTCCACCTTCTCCAGTATCAATGTCTTTTCCAATGAGTTGTACCTTCTCATAATGTATCCAAAATACAACAGCCTAAGTTATCTCATTGTGGCTTCCCGAGAGATTTCTGGCTTGATCTGCTCTAGGACCCATTTGTTTGTCTTTTTAGCTGTCCATGGTATTCACCACCACATCTCAAATGAAGTTCTTCTTAACCATTTCTTTACTGTCTAGTTCTAATATCCATACATGGAAATGGGAAATACAATGGCTTGGAATATCCTCCCTTTAGTGCTCAGTTGTATAGCTGTTACTCTTTAGGATCTTTTCTAGTTCTTTCATAGCTGCCCTTCTCATTTCTAATCTTCTTCTGATTTCTTGACTGCAATCTCTGTTTTGATCAATGTTTGATTCAAGGTAAGGGAAATCTCTTCACTATTTCAGTTTCCTTGTTACCTAGGTTGAATTTATGTAAATCCTCCATGGTCATTATTTTTGTTTTCTTTAAGTTTAACTTTAGATCTGCCTTTGCGCTTTTTCTTTGACTTTCTTTAGTGATTGTTTCAAATCTGTGATACTTTCTGCTAGTAGTATGGTGCCATCTGCATATCTTTAGTTGTTGATATTTTTTCCTCCGAACTTCACTTCTCCTTCTTCTGTGTCCAGGCCTGCTCTTTGTATGGTATTTTCTGCATACAAGTTGAACAGACAGGGTGAAAGGATGCAGCTTTGCCTGACCCCTTTGCCAATTGGGAACCATTTTGTTTCTCAGGTAGCCAGGAAAAAAACAAAGCAAAGCACAGCCAGAGACTGGATTGTGTTCCCTCCCCAGCCAAGTGCAGAGCCACAAGGACCCAGGCCATGGGAGCACAGCTCATGAACAGTGATACGGACACAAGGTTTTCCCCCTAGAATTGTACAAATTTCCCCCATAAGCCAAAACGGCTAAACTGAAGCTATCTTACTTTGGGTGTATTGTGGATAACTCAGCTGAAAAGATTATTGTTGTTGTTGTGTGCCTTCAAGTTGTTTCTGGCTTATGGTGACTCTAAGCCAAACCTATCATTCAGTTTTCTTATAGCAATAGCAGTTTCTATACTGCTTATCAGTGCACTTAAGCACTCCCTAAGTGGTTTACAATGTGTAAGCTAATTGCCCCAACAACCTGGGTACTTATTTTAGTGACCTCAGAAGGATGCCAGGCTGAGTTGACCCTAAGCCCCTGGCTGTACTGGTCACAACCTTGTGGTTTGTGAGTGGCTGCAGTACAGGCATTTAACCATTAGGCATTTAACCACTGTGCCATCCTCTTGGCAAGATTTGTTCAGGCTTGGCAAACTGGGAGGCTATAGGAAAAGAGGAAGACTACATTACAGGTGGAGAGATCCAGTCAAGGAAGTGCAGGTCTTAAGCAGGACTGCTGATGTCTGAGTCTCTTGCAGGTCTTTCATTCATGGGGTTACCATAAATAGAAACTAACTTGACAGCAAAGAACAACAAAAATAGACACAAGGTCTGGAAACCAAATTCCCAGAATAGTCTGTCCAGCACAGCCAGTGGCTATGCTGGCTGAGGGGTTCCGGGATTTGTAGTCTCAAAGTAATTTATCTGGCTTCAGAGCCTTTTAAAACAGCAGCTAAAGGATATAGGGTGCCCATTAAAGACAAATGTGAGGGACTGAGTACAAAATAACCCAGAAAAGCCTCCTGGGGATCAGTTATCCAAACAACAGAACATAAAACTAGACAACAAAACTACAAAACCCAATGC